GACTATAAAATATACAATTCAAATTTGTGTTGATAAAAAAATAAATAAAAATAACAAAAATTAGTTATGTGTATGGAGGCAAAAAAGGGTTTAGGTAAAAGAAAAAAAATAAAAACTTATTATTATTACGTTTCTGTTTTGAATGTGTTAAATACTTCATAAAATATAATGATAATTTAAATGATATTAAAATATTTTTTAAAAAAGTTAGTTTTTTGTTTTTTTGTAGTAATGTTGTAATAAAATCTACAAATCAAATATAAATCAATAAAGTTTGTTCATTATGTTAAAATAAAAGCGTTTGTCATTGTCATATTCATTTGTGATTTATTATTAAAAAATCAAATATAAATTATTATTGTTTATGTTTAAAACCAATTTCGAACTAAAAGTTGGTATCCTTTGAACATACAGTAAAAATTCTATCACTGTGTGGTTTTGACTATTTAAAAGGTGGCTAACACACCAATAGAATATAATTATTTCTCACGAATATGGCACTAAAACCCGCAAAAATAATGGCAATTGCAATTTTGTTTAAAATAAGTAAAGACTTGGTAATACAAATTAAAAAAGATAATAATTATCAAAAAAATCAAGTCAAATAAGATAAGAAAAGAAAAGCAGAAAATGGTACTCTTGAAATATTATATTTTAAATGAAAATGATTATTAAAAATGCATTGACTTCCACACACATCACAAGAGCACTTGTGATTGGTGTGATAACAGAATTGATACCACAAAACTTAACAATTTCAGCAAGGAAGTCATAGATATTTTTGACACATTCAGACAACCAGCCAGGCGTGTCCATTTAAGTTTTTGAGGGCGAATTGTATATGACATCACATTGCAACCTGCTTGGCAAGTTTGAGTTGTCTGGTATCCCACCAGCACCAAGTGGAGTCTCACAATTGAAGTCGCATTTGACACAAATGCAAACGGGATTCTGAATGTCTCGGCTGAAAACGAGACAACATGAAAGAAGACTTTCAAAGGAACAGGTGGACAAGATGTTGGAGAGCAAAGAATTTCAAGGCGGAGGACGACAAGATGATAACTTTTCGAGGCTTAGAATTGACTCTAAATTTACCATGACGGTGTTATAACACATTGAAATGAACAATTTACTTCAAAGTTATCAACAAAAAACAAGGTAGCAATCGAGACTGATATTACGACGCAATTGAGTTGTAGGTTGACAAAACCAATCAGCACTAATACTCAATGTGTTAATACAAAACACAATTGGTTATTCTGATTCCAAACAGTTTGAAGATTTAAAAAACACAACTATATTTTTTACACGTGTCAGAATTAATTTTTCAAAAAAAATAAATTATATTGTCAATTATGTAATTATGAATTTATTTGTTTTATATTTTTTGGTGTAATCAGACCCCGACGACGATGTGTGTGGAATGCAACCGAAGAGTAGATGTGTTGGGCATCTCTTTGGTGGAGATTGTGTTGCCAAATTCTGTTGCATCAACAAAATCGACATGATAGCAAGGTCGCACCAATTTGAGATGAGCGGGTACAAGTATCACTTTGACAACAAGCTGGTGACTGTGTGGTCTGCACCCAATTACATGAGAAGATACAACAACGTGGCAGCAACTATGACCATCAACAATACTCCAAAACCAGTCTTTGTTGTGTTTGGTGTGTCAACTGGGTGTTGCAACTCTGTTCTTGATTAAAAAATGAATTCAATCAAATCAAAACAGACACTTTCATATTTTTGAATAAAAATGGATATATTTTTTTATAAGTAGATATTTAATTGTTTTGTTATAACATTCTATAATTATATAAATGAAGTAATCAAGTGAGATTGATGAATTACTGAGACATGCCAATAATCTCTTTGAGTGCGTCTGGGCTTCCAGGCGCCTTCTTGGCGACTTTCTGGTCTTGGAAGAAGACGAATGTAGGGAGTGATGTGACTTGGTATTCGGCAGCATACTCAGTTGCTGTTGTTGCATCGACCTTGAAGAACTTAAGATTCTTGTGTTCTTCTGAGAGTTTCTCCAACATCGGAGCACTTGCCTTGCATTGCGCGCATTCGGGCGAGTAAAAGACAACAAGAACATTCTTGTTGCTTGCAATTGTCTCTTTGACTAAGGCGACGTCTGTTGTGTATGTCACTGGCATGTTGATTGTTTTGATGTTTTAAAATCCGCTTTTATTGGTTGTGAAATGTTCTGGTCACACTTCTGTTTTGTTTTTACATTCTGGTCTTTTTGAAACAATTCACTTTGCATTGCATTAGTATATTTTACTATTCAATATAATTCTATTAATATAAAACATTTTTAGTTTTTTTTGAAACAAAATAGTTAAACACTACATTACACTGAGATTTCTACACTTTGTTATTGTATTATAGTTCTTCATAATTTATTATATCAAATGGTAAAAAAATAACAACATTATAACTTTTCAATATACATTGTAGTTCCAATAACTGATTATTACCAGTTTATATCCATAGTGGTGCTTCATAATGTAATTCATAATCTTCAATTCCATCACCAAATATCTGCGACAACAAAACATACTTATAATTAATTATTTATACTATTATATAAAATGTAATAACAAATTTTCTTATGTTGTTATTGAATTGTTTTTAATAATAAAAGAATTAATAAACTCAAATAAAAAGGATCATGACGGCGACAAATAGCGCCACAGTAATTTCCCAAGCGCCATCACATCTTCCAGTTGTTTGATTAAGTTTATATCCGTCGTTGCACTTCGAGCATTTATCCTTTTCTTCGCACAAGAGACAACCGCTGATATGTCTATCACATGGAATACAACTTCCCCAACTTGTAGTGTAATATCCCGCCTTACAGACGCACTCGCTTCCCTTTGGTTCAAGGTATTCCGCATTACAAAGTGTGCAACTTTCCTTCTCGCAAGTTGAGCAGAACTCGTTCTTATTTTCTTTGCATGGGTCGCACGCGTCTAATGTTTCATTATAAACATAACCAACAACACATCTGCACTTCCCTTCACTGTTCGGACTTGATTCAAAATTGCCAGCAACAGTACACTTCTCACAGGTAGTCGAGTCCTTACAAACATCACAATTTTTGAAACATGGGAAACAATTCTGCTTGTCAGCATCCCAATAATACCCTTCATTGCACCCATCACACTTGTTGCCTGGTGTCGGCTTACGGTTTGGATTAATACAAGCATCACACTCGGTGGCTGAGGTGCATGTAAGACAGTTGAGATCACAAGGTTCACATGTGTTCCCATTCATGAAATAGCCCTCTTTACATTTGTCACA